ATATATAATGATGGGGAAATCTATGTACATATATTTATAGGTTTAGTATTAAGGTACCAGATGGACATTGGCCTCCACTCAAGTACTCCCTCAATGCAAGAACACTGTGTTCTAGTAAACTGGCATTCCAGGATGCTCGCCTTCCTGACATCGCTGAAGACAAATGTGTGCATCAGGAAATGTCGTGAAGAAAGCTGATGGTGCCTGGCTATCAAAATGTGGGGGAAAGGACAGCCCCCCCACAACTAATTGCAAATTTGATAGGCACAAATATATGGTTAATGTATATATAGATTATATATAGATTATAGTAACGCCATAGAGAGCATGAGAGATAGAAGAGAGATTGAAATAATGGAATCAGACACATTTCATGGTAGCATGCTCATCTCAGCCCCGCTTGGTCGTCCACGTGGAGATAGATGGGAGACCGAAGGGCAGGAGAGAGGCAGAGGGGAAGGAGGACAAGGGGAAAGGGAGCAGGGAAGCAAGGACTGACGGGGGAGAGGAAGGGAAGCGCTGAGAGAGAGCAAGGGTATGGGGGAGAGCCCAGCTTCTTTATTGCTAACCCAGGCTTATATATCTTTGGGGAGGGTGCAAGTCCCCTAATTACAGGTAAAGACATACGTCACAGGAAGAGGTTGCACTATAAGTTATACAGCAATGAGAGGGGGACAATCTAGGGATATACACGCAATAGGAAGGGGAGGGATTGGGGGCACACATGTGACAAGAAGGCTGGATCCTAGATTCAGGATGGCAGCCTAACTTTGGATGTCACTGAGCAGGTTTGACCTGTTCTCTGGCTCACTATAGAAACCGTTATCAGTAGGATGTAAACCTCATCTACAGGGAGCAGACTGATGGCTGCAAGCCTTTAGCAAGAAGTAGCCCATTGTCCTTAACAGCAGGGAGTGCGCCCCTCTTGTGGTGGGACCAGACAGTCCTCTGGCAACTGACTGCCTTCTAAGCATCTGACCTCCCACCATATGCTGGAAAATAGCCTGTAATGTTTGGCATGTCTTTGGGGGAGACAAAGCTGGGGAAAAGTCTCTTTATAGTCCCACATCAAAAGATACAGTGTCTGGGGTATTAAAGGCATGAAGGTAAACAAGCAGCCATCTAGCTCAGAGCAACAAAGTCCACATGGAAGAAGCACAACA